TACTATAGCTTTTGATAGAGAAGTGCTAGAGCGGTGAAAACATGTCAGATGTGTTCAGCTCGACGATACGGATCGACTGATATGCAACATGACTCTTTCTGGTCAGGTCATGACCTTGACCTGAGGTCAAATTTTCAAAATGACCTTTCCAGGTCAACTTATAGTTCATTCCACGCTTCTCGACGAGAGGAACACGATGCTGGTAAAATTGATGTCGTGACTTATTTGAGTCAAAAGTAATTACCGAAAAACTTTTTTTCGTAAATACGGCTATTTTTGGAGTTTTGACCTCTGGAGGCTAATCCGTTGACCTGATGTCAAATCTGAGACCATTCCTCAGATAGGCCTGTAAAAGAGGTATCGAATGCGATCTTCCCCGGCGGTGTAGCTCTATTGGTTCCCGATTTATGCGCTGGGTATTTCGAAAATTGTTGAAATATATGAAATTTGACATTTGATGACCTCTAGTTACCTGACCTAAAAAGTGACCGAAGTATTTTCATAATTGTTTTACGCTTTTTCGAATGCCGTTTACCGCGTGTCGCTACGAGCCGAATTAGACGGGGGAGGGGTGAAAACGCACCCCCCCCCCTCCCCAGCACGACACGGGAAATTCAGACAACCAGCACGGCGCGGTAAAAAAAGAATATAAAAAAACATTTCCAAAATACATATTATAAATCTGCTGCAGTGCGTGCTTACCTCGACTGCGAGATGTATTTTCACAGATTGTCCTCATAAAGTCACGTAGGCTGGTCGTCCAAACCTGGTGACAGGTTTCCCAGCGATGAGCTCAACCTCTCTCTTTCTCTCTCTCAGTCCATCCATGGCATAAAGATGGATTCTGTTTGTGTTCCTTAGGAAAATATTGCTTTTACACTGTGTCAGAAATATCAAAGAGTGCAATGGGAACAAAAACTTCGCTTGCGAAAGTTACAGGCCTAAAAAGCACACTTAAATGCCCGAAAATGCAGGCCCCGAAACGCGGTCAACTCCACCTCACAGTTACAAACTGTCATGGCGGCGATAAAATGGCAGTTATGACCTTTCCGGGAATCATAGTGACATAATTGGAGAATCATGAGAGAGTCAAATGGGAATCGCGAGACAGTATTGATTCGTCAATGATTCTCGTAGCTGAGAATCATTGGAGAGTATTGCATTTCTAATCGGGTGATATTTACGTTCTATCGAGAGGATCAGCGCCACTGGTATAATATGAGAGTATTACGGACATATTTGGGGACTCGGATTCCCTCTGTGATGCCCGCATAATCGAAGGGAATGAAAAAATGGGTATAATCTAAGGATCAAAAGGGAATCATGCGGGTATAAATGCCCATGACCAGGGCATCAGGAGAATCATTTTGGTTTTCAGTGTAACGCTTTTGAGAGGCTTATATCTCAGCAACCGCTGGACCGATTGGCCTGCGGTCTTTTTTGCTGGGTAGCCCCATCCCTTCTACCCCGTAATTGACTATTTTTGATGCATCTCAGTGACCGTCGTGGCACGTGCCACGTGAAAAGTCAAGGGTGTTCAGGCAGTTTTGCAAAAGTAATGATTTTGAGAGGCCCATATCTCAGCAGCGGCTTGAGCGATTGTCTTGCGGTAATTTTTATAGGGTAGCTGCATCCCTGCTACCAAAGGTCGGATACTCTTGATCTATGTGAGTGACCCCCACTGCACGTGCAAAATACAAAAAGAAGAGGTGCCAAATTTGTTCCCACTTCAGTAACTCGGTAATTACTGGGGCGATTTCGCTGAAACTTGGCATACGGGTAGGCACCCACGAGGCAATGCATTCCCATATGTTGCGGTTAGGGTGCTACTGCACGTGCGCACGTGCAGGGGGCGTTTCCAGATCTCGAGAACGGCTGGGCCGATTGCGCTCAAATTTGGTGCACGGTTGGGGACCGGTTAGAAGGGTGCCGTGCAAAAGTCATTTTGGACCCCGTTTGCACGTGCGCACGTGCAGAATGCCGCTTCCAGATCTCAGGAACGGCTGGGCCGATTGCGTTCAAATTTGGCACACCGCTAGCGACCGGTTAGAAAAGTGCTTTGCGCAAGTCCGTTGGAAGTACCCTCTCGCCCTTCCGCACGTGCAGAGCTCACTATCTCGCTCGCTCGTTCTTCGCCCAAAAGGCGTTTTACTGGTAAAGTAAACATCCATCCTCGATTAACCTTGTCACCATCAAATACACTAGTCGTACACGAGGCAGCTATTTTGTTTCTCATATCGGGACTTGAGAAGACGCCGGTGGCCGCTTTGCCCCAGGGTATGGGGCAAAGTGGCCAATATGCATAGGTTTAAAGTTTTGCCAATATCTTTCATATGTGAACGCCTTTGGAAATAAAACGCAGTTGAAATAAAAGGCAACTTATTAGGGATCACATTGGTATAGAAAGAATCTTTCCAAGTTTAAAAATCAAGCGTTGGCATCGTCAGAAGCGTTAGGGTGGCCGCTTTGCCCCACTCTCCCCTACACAATCCAGTTCCACAGCCCGAGCACAGCGGATCACAGCGAATCTCGAGTATAAGGATCGGCCCAATTCCAAACCAATGCACATCATCGGGTAGCGAATAAGCCGAAAAGTTCAGGAAAAGTTACTACCGTAGTATGTGATTTGGTTGGAATTCGGCCGACCCTTCGAGATCTGCTGTGCAGACGTATTTTCGACATAACCACAGGGGAGCACTGCCGCTTCAACCCTATTGGCTGAAGTGTCTAACGGTGGCGGCCATATTGCGCAGACCAGGAACCGGCTGCCGCCTGTGTTGAGGAATAGGGAATTCGGGACCTCGATTTACGTTTGCGGCCGCCGCATCCGTTACGCTTAACCCGGCGGCCGCTGGGCCTCCGCGCCACCCGCCGGCCGCTGGGGGGGGGGGCATATAGTTACCCCCCCTTTACTTCCGCGACGATATCATCGCAACGCGAACGGATAGAGAAGCGAAACTTTGCACACATCTTCCTGAATACCTAGCGGAGGTTGTGTCCGAATTTGGTGTCGATCCCATTTGAAATGACGTCACAGTGACGTCATAAGTCAAATTATAGATTTGCGACTCTCAGTTTCCTCACGATACATCAGATATATGGGACCGAATATAAAGGGCCGATTATTGGCTAGGAACTAGATGGAAGTGTACTTAGATGTTTTAGGATGACAGCAGATGCTGTCTAGTTCATTTACAGTTGAGTTTCATGCTCAGCGTCATCAGAAACGGTCAATATCGGAAAACGACAAAACTTTATGACGTCACTGTGACGTCATCTTAGGTGCTACAACCATCAAAATTTCTTCAAACATTGCCTAGGCATTCATTTGAAGCTCTGCCAAGTTTCACGTTCGTAGCTCATCGCGTTTCGGAGATATTCCACAAAACGTAAAGGGGGGGGGGCAACTTTATGCCCCCCCCCCCAGCGGCTCGTGGGTTAAGGTGCGTAGATACGGAACCCGACATCTTACGCAGAATTGAGTGGGGAACACGATCGAATCATCAGAATTGCTCAAATTCACTCGCCGGACCATCGTCTTTCTACATTTGAACCCACCTCGCTAATGCGCCGCCAATAATTCAACTAGAATTTAGCGGTAAAGTGATCGTATGAGGCAGAGTACAATCCAGAGTGACTGGTAGGAATCCGCTTTAAAGGTCTCAGGTCAATCGGTGACCTCTGAGGTCAGGTCAAGTGACCTAAGGCACGGGCTCGGTTTTTGGTAAATAACTTCGCCAAAAATGGTCGTGGAGCCGCGATTTTGGCATCATCGTGTTCACCTAGCTCAGGCGCATCGAGTGATATACTTTTGTTCGGATGAGGTCAATTTACGGCATTGACCTCGTGACAAGGTCAGGTCAGAGCTCTCAGGTCACGAAGCTGGTCGAGTAAGGTCATGTTGCATATCATTCGATTCGGGAGGTCTTTCTGAGTCCATTTGTGACTTTCCCGTTCGCTCGTTCAATTTGATCGGGAGTTATTGAAGAAAAGTTAATGATCCTTGTGACGTCACAGATGACGTCACGCAAGGGCAACAATGCAATTGTGAAGCATTGGACCTTGCAAGGAGTGCATGAAATCACGATTGATAGTTTCAGATCATTCCCGGCGCCAAAATAGCAATTTACATATTCCCCCATTGACTTATAAGGGTTTAACGTAAAAGTTCCCTGTATTTGAGGATTTTTTAAGATGTAATCTTGTTCTCCACTCAATTCTGCGTAGGATGCGGGGTTCCGTGTCTACATAGCTTGAACGTAACGGATGCAGCGGCCGCAAACGTAAATCGAGATCCCGAATTCCCTATTCTTCAACACAGGTGGCGGCACAGGTCGTTTGGTGTCGTGTTTAGCGCTCTAGCTCTACTGGGTGGGCCGCAAACTGCTGTGCACAGTTGGGTCACTCGACCTTTTGCTGTCCTCTGCAGGTCAAACGGCTGGCCGCTGGGAGTTTCACCGAACGGCTTGGTCTGTGGATTGTGTATGCCACGTTTTCTATGGTATGCAAGTTTCAAGTCTATTTGAGGTGTCCCGAATCTAGGCTGAATCCGGGCTGAATCTGGGCTGTCTGACGGACATCGTGACCTGGAGATGATCTCTGCAGTGACGACTACTTCTAGGTTGTTCGACTTCCGGTACATCAAGTCAGCATGATCTACTTCCTTCCACCAATGGTGTTTTTTTCTAAAGAATATCGTTAGACAACAGTGCTGAAACCTCTTTCTAGTGCATTGACATGAAATGAATACCAATTTCATTCATGTCACTCACTTTTCTACCTGCGAGTATACCTAGTTGCTTTTCTTCCCATGAAGTCTTCCTGCCAATATACGATAATTGCGTCTGTTGAGGAGTGATGTTTGAAGTGATGTTGAAGCGTTCGATTATCGCTGGCGCCTCTTCACCCTTGGGTGGATGACTGGCGGTTTTGGCATGGGTACTCGTCTGGTATCGGATGCTCAAGGTCAGCTCTGCCCGCGGCGCCCGGCGTCCAAGGTCGGGTTGGTGGGCGACATGTTTTTCGCCAGAGACCACGGTGAGCAGGCGGTGTCGGTGCGCATAGCAGCCGGTGTGGAGTTCCGCTGTGGTGCCGCGGTTTGTCGGAAAAGCTGGACTGTGCTAACGGACCGCCGGGCTCACAGGATACAGGTGAGTTTAGCAGCGCGGACTTTCGAGTTCAGACGAGCACTTGTGCTTGTAGCTGACTACTTCAGTTGGCGACGGAGTGGCATTGCCGCACGTTGCACGCACATACAGACACGGTCGCCGTGCATTGAAGGTACATGTATCTTAGTGTTGAATTTTTGTTCTGAAGATCCCACGACAAAAGTTCAGGCTGGAAGTTTGATGTGTTGGAATACAAATTTAATTATACCCACGGTGACTATTAGGTATACCTACAATTTTCAAGTGTATGTGTGGATCTCACAACATGCAGACAATGCACAATTGTACCTATAGCTAGACGATTTGAGGTAATCGTCATTGCTTTTTTTCTAAAATAGAAACATTTCAGTGTGCAAAAATCACTTTTGAGTCCCGACTAAACTCATATTCAGATGTGTGACCCCAACTACCTAACTTAGTGCTGAATGTGATGGGATCCTGTATCAGGTTCATTCGCATGTTTCACGCGAATTGCGCTGGATCTAGAGACTGGATTTATAGTACCGGCAAGAAAGACATTTCGACATATGCTTTGTCCAATAATGTTGCTCCCGTGATGCCGCTCTTCTTGCAGCTATAAACGCAAAAGCATGGTGTTTGCGACTTTTCCAAAAGCATTTTTACGTGACAATTTTTGGCGGGAGTATTGGGGTATAGGTACACCAAAAATCAAAACCCTACGTTTGGCTCATTGACCTGACCTCTGAGGTTAGTGGTTAACCTGTGCCATAAGATTTGATGGCAGTCATGTGTTTCGTGACATGTGACACATTTACTTGATTTGTAAACGTCTTACACAATTAGGAGTGAAACGGTTAACCTTAAGGGGTCTTCCACTCTTTCCCTCTCGGCCGGAGATTTATGTAGAAAAGCGAAAGTAAACCATGACTTTTGATGCACAGCGGACAAAGCTTTGTCAATAATCAATTACCTCGTGTAGTTCCTGGAACAGTCACGTTTGGTGGTATTTCCTGCTACTCTACACTCTTCTGTGGACTAAGCGAAGCAGCTGCTTGACAATTTATCGGTTAGCAGATTTATCCGTTCTAAATGAACTTTCACTGCTTACGTAGCGTCACACTACGGTTGGAAACGGCCTCACGGATGGCCGGGGGTCAACGCGAAAAAATGGTTTGCCCATAACTTGTTAATGCGTAGACCGACTGCGATGAAACTTTGCATAGGTATACCAGTGTCTTTCGTGCATCATACAGTAACTCAGAAATGACGAGGTCACGTCACGTCACGCGTGTGTGACGTCATCATTGCAAGTATGTTATAAGTCGCCTATGTCTTTCGTAATGTTATCGATATCGCGAGGCATTTTGAACATGTTTTGAATACTGCTATTACTGAATGGATATTGCTTTTATGCTTTAGGGCGAGAAATATCAACGTAGTGACGCACAGTGTCTTACTATTGGTCATAAAGGGTCAAAAATTTGGAGAAAAAGTATTAATGATTTTTTTAGGTTGGGCAAAAAAGTAAGAAATAAAATGACGATCAAATGACAAAAAAAAAAATGCGTCAGATTAACCCGGCAGTTGCTGGGGTATTTCCCCACCCGCCGTTTGCCGGGGGGGGGGGGGGGCGTTCAACGCCCCCAGCCGATAACTCGCGAACAAATAGGCGCAGCGAAACGCACGAGGCGGCAAACGAAAGAAGAACGGGACGAGACGATCCACGTGAACTGAATACTTTAAAGTTGAATTTCGAGGTCACAGGTCGGGTCAAGGTCAGTTCAAACACTTGAAATCGGGCTTTCAGTAGCATGGACTTTAGAACCTCGCAATCGGTGCCTCTCGTCATAAATTATTCTGTCACAACTTATGGCAAAAGTAAATTATTCAAAATAATTTACATTAGGACCAAAACGCGTTTCGACTATATCGTCATCAGTTGGTCCTAAATAAATTCAGTCATCAGTTGGTCCTAAACAATCTGTCACAACTGTCAAAAACCTTCATATAAGTGCTAAAAGAGTGTCAAGTCAAACAAAGGCCACTGGCCAGGGTCAAAGTCAGGTCAATCAGGTAAGCACATAACCCCGAAAATTAAAACTGGTACCTATTCGCAGCCCATGACTCATGTTTTATGGATTGGGTACCTTTGGGCGTAGAACACGATGGTGACATTCATTTTATCATACGAGTACGTGGTTGGTTGAAAAAAGATCAATTTCAGAAATGTATGCATCATGGTCGTGAAGTAGTCACGAGAAATTGCCAACATTCAGTTCAAGATTTTGGAAAATGTAGAACGATGATCAAAAACCATAGATAGCCATTTGATTTGCCATGGTATTGGCAGTGTAATGGCGTTTACAGCATGTCTCTATGTCTGTTCTGTCAGTGGATATCCATATCCATACTCTAAGATATCCATACACGTTTGCACGATATCCATACTCCAGGTGCAACCGTGCAGGGGCGAGCAGTTACTTCTTACGAGGGGTGCGGAGTCGAAGTTAGAGTCGCAGTCAGAGTCAGAGTCGGAGTCAGAGTCGCCCAGAGTCGTGGCAACGAGCCAGGAGTCGGAGTCGGAGTCGGGGTCGGTCAGGAGTCCGCAGTGGAAGTCGGAGTCGGTCCGAATCGGAACAGCTCCATCACGACTCCGAAACACTGGCAGGGGTCCGGAGTCGGAGACAGAGTCGCCCGGAGTCATGGCAACGAGTCAGGAGTCGGAGTCGTAGTCGGAGTCGGATTTGGCGCCACCACGACTCCGCAACCCTGCTTCTTACCATTATTTATTAGGATAAGCGATTGCACGACTGACGAGCCGACCTGGTGCTAACGAAGCGACGGGTAGGTACGCCTCGGGAGATGAAGCTTCACGGACGATTTTGCGCACAAGTGCGCAGTTTGCTTTTACGTTCCCCTTACGCAGAATTGAACAGAGATTTACTCTGCCAAAAAGCTCAATGGAGGTCGATGGAAAACTTTTTGTATGTCCAATGAAACATAAACGTAATTTTGCAAATGTTGCTGTGGTGACACTGCAAACAGAATGCAATGCCGTTCCTGATTTTGAACACACATGGGAAAAAGAGTCACTCCACTCGATAGCCAACATAACAAGGATTGTTTTGATATATAACAATCCAGTTTTACAACGTCATGGAGGTACTCCACATGCTATCACCAGCGCGGTTGTTGAAACCTTTGACGGCGCACCAAAAAAGCCACTATCAGAAACTCCCGTTTCAAAGTACGATAATGGAGACTAAATGCGCAACTAAATATTTTTTTCTGCCCAATTCAAAACATTTCATCAATTTCCAACAGAATGACACCCCAAATATACATATATTCCGAAATTGCCCATGGCCATCCGTGAGGCCGTTTCCAACCATAGTGCGTCAGCCTCCTCAGACGGGCTGTGAGATAGGCTTTAAAGGCTCACATGAGAGTCGCCACATAATCCGTGTTCAGCTAGCTGCATGGATGTAGGTACTCCAATGCTTAGACCGATAACATTTTTATTAGCAGACGATTCCGCAATCCGCTGACCAAACGGCCAAGTTCATCGTCGTTTGAACTTGTTGAGACAAGAGTAAAAGTTATTGTGGTACCATGCATTTCCAGGAAAACTGCCAGCTAAAAGGTTATTCAATAATGCCAGAGGTTACTCGCACTAAATTTGAAAAAGATCAACATATTTTTAAGTGTATGAGATTTTACTTAATTTCCGTTCATCATCACCTGCTCTGCCTCAGATATCTTGCCTTACATATCACGTAAGCTTCTTGATTAATAGCTCATTAATCAATTACTTTCCATTACATATTTTTTAAAGTACCCACTGATAATAATGTATATATTTTCCTACACTCTGCCCATTTATGCACCCGAAACCATGCGTTAACTAGCGATAAAAAATGACGTACTGATATGCCTTCCTTATTGCATCAGGCTGAATCAAATATAATTGTGTTTACTCGTAGGCACTCATGTGAACACTGATTGAAACCTATACTCGTATGGATGTTGAATATCTTTAATGAGGTGTTCTGTGCTTTAAGTCTTGTGTGAGCTTCAGGAATATCATATTTGTTCATAAATCGCTTCCGTGCTCACTCAACTGAATTATGATTCGATTCAATGTTTCTATTTCAGGCATAAGATGTCAACGCTTCCATATCCTCACGAATTTCACGATGTCGATGATGAGACCAACGCTCGCGTCAAGCGGCTTGTGCCAGGGCTGGCTGAAGGAGCCATGACCATCGGCAAGGACCGTTACTTCTATCCAAAGAAGGACCACGAGGCCTTCCACAAGATGTACAATTACCCTCTAGACGAGCGAGATATATGGGTGGTGACGATGCCTAAATGTGGCACCACGTGGACGCAGGAGATGGTCTGGCTGATCGCCAACGACTGCGACTTCAAGGGCGCTCAGAGCAACCTGGTTCCGGACCGGTGGAATTTCCTCGAGATGTCCTACCTGGTCTTGGCGTCAGACGTGCGCGCCAAAAGCGTCGCCTGGGAGGGCATCAAGGCCAACCCGTGGAAGATGCCTCAGATTCTGTGGTTGGGTCTGAAAATGGCTTGGCCTCGAAAGTACTACCCTCCGCGGTTCATCAAGAGTCATATGCCGTTCTCTATGCTGCCTCCAAAGCTCCTGGATACGTGCAAGGTCGTCTACGTGGCCAGGAACCCCAAGGACGCTCTTGTATCGTACTACCACCATCACAAGCTGATCAAGATGATGGACTTCGAGGGAACATTCGAGGAGTTCTTCGACCTCTTCCTCGAGAACAAGGTGGTCCAGGCTCCCTTCATGCCGCACGTCAAAGAGGCTTGGGAGAAAAAGGACCACCCAAACCTGCTCTTCCTCTTCTTTGAGGACTTGAAGAGTGACCTAAAAGGGAACATCAGGCGAGTGGGTGACTTCCTTGGGAAGACACTTTCGGAAGAGCAGGTCGAACAGCTGTACGAGCACCTCAAGTTTGACAACTTCAAAAAGAATCCTTACGTAAATAATGATCCGCTCAAGGAGCTAGGCATTCTCTCCACAACTGGGAACTTCGTCAGGAAAGGTTAGTACAATCTTGTAATGGTAATGCTTGCCCGCTGTCTGTCCTAGACAAAAACGTTTTATTGATAGTGTTGTAACTTATACTGCATTCGGCTTGGTAACTTGCACAATGCACATAATACAATTGATGCTGGTCAAATGGCACGTTCAGGTGCCTGTTTGCCTTACAATACGTGTAGTGGCCCTTGGGTTCATTAACCGAACCGGTTAGTGTTGAGATTAACACTTCAGCTAGCATACGTTCAGGGAAACGTGGATTTATTTATCCGATGACTTTGAAGCCCCGGCGCTCTAAAATTGCATATCACCATCAATCACAAATCAGGCTGGCGTTTCTTATGGGTAGATGAGATACAATGATCAGTATTTGGTTACCCTAAGCGCGACATTTCTTCGAATGGAAATGTATCTTATCATCCGGTTTATTGTAACTCGAAGTAGTAGGAAATTAACTAAAATTATACTTAAGCGGCACATGAAGCGTGCCCTGCGATTTGACAATTCGCCGTTTCCCAGGCAAAACTGGCGACTGGAAGAACCATTTCACCCCTGAGATGGACGCCCGCATGGACGCCTGGATCAAAGAGAACCTCCGGGGCACCGATCTGAGCTTCCAGACCGAACTGAAGCACCAGGACTGAGCAATTTTCACCAGACAGTGCCGCCCGGTCCCGGTGGCCGACTCAGTGTACCTCAATATCTGGCAAGAGAGCTGAGTTCTTTCACTCCATGCCGTTAGTTGGTGTAGGAATCCAAATCGGAATAACTTTATTCTAGCCCAGCATATGAATAAGTTGCAACTTGTTTACACTCTGTCGTTCATCGAGATGTACCGATATTAGCTTATGGCCAGTGAAGTTTCATCACTGCTGTTACCTGTTATGATCCAGATGCATGCATTTGCCTGGAATCGTATGTGTCAGCTAGTTATTTCAGGCTGCGTTATCACCATCACTAGGCAAACATTGTCTCCCACGTAACGATCGTAACGATGAATGGTCACATTTAGCATTATCGTCTTTCTCTGGCCTGTTCTTTAGCACACACGCAAACGACGGTGCAGTCCATACGCTGGCATACCCTCCCGTTGCTAATTGAATAGTTTTCGCCTTATACTGTCCCAGAGCCGCCTTCAAATAAAGGATTTGGAGAGCTCTGGCCAAAGCATTATAAAACTACGGCCGCTCCGGATGGAGACCGAAGTCAGGCAGCTGCTCACGTTCGTTCGGTCACGTTCGTGTGTCTTCTCGACATTCGATTGCTGGTCAATAGGTGTGCTTTGTGTGTTGTACCTTGGTTGTACCTATGTCATTCGTTTTGTCGCTATGCGTACTGTACATTGTGCAATGTTTTAATCGCCTGTACTTGTGAATACTATATGTGCTCATGTAACTTTTTTTTTCTTCGAAAGAATTTTTCCATTTTATCCTGACCATCTGTTGTAACTTCTGATTTGGAGTCTGATCTGGTGCAGATCTGCTCTTTATCTGATACGAAGCCTGATTTACTTATCAAGATGCATTGAGCCCAGCTTTTATCGTTATTTCTATGTAAATCATGTGTTTGCCGCGACATGTAGCTATAAGCATGTGGCTGATCTGCAGTGCATCCTTCCGCGGGCGGCGGGCGGTGTCGGTCCGCTCTCCGGACCGGACTGCAGGTGCCGCCTCCGCCCGGTGTCTCTCGAACCCCCTGTTGGCCAACAGACCGCACCGAGGCGGCAGGGGCGCGACAGACAGGCGGCTCCTCCCGGCTCCCTGAGCGGCCCGCGCGGCCCGCGCCCCCAGTCCCCGTCCACCCCGAGAGGCAGTCATAATTTGTCACGGCTGAATGCCGCCTGGCTGGACCGGGCGGCACCAGGCACGGCGCCGGCCGCTCTCCGGCTCTGACCGGCCCACGCGGCGTGCTGCAGCGCCGCGCCGGGACGCAGATAAGGCCGCCGATCGGCAGGCACCACTGCTGAACCTCTCCCGGCGCCCCACACCCGTCCTCTGCGCCGACCTGGGGCTGACAACTTGTGCTTGGCGATTCACAGCCATCTTTAAAGAAATTTAGTCCGAACGATGCATGGGTGGCTTTGAGCGCGGGTGCAACGGGAAGTGGTGCTTGTTGCGAATGACACGTCCGTGTGAACATATCTACATGCCTTTGTGAGTCAGCTTCCCTAAACTGCTGCCTGGTCACCGATGAATGACTATCCTATGCTGTATTATAAACGTATGATTTTGATGCTTTAGTGCTCGTAATTAACTGCTTGAACCTTGTGACATTGAATTCAGCCATCCATCATAGCAAAGTCAATTAGATCGTGCAATAGGTCGTGGGCGGACGGCACACCATCCGTCTCATATGGCCTCTCGGCCATAAGAGACGGATGTGACCGTGGTGACGTACATACGGGCCTAATCAATCTCCGTTGGATTGTCGTTGAGTAGCTATGACTAGGCCGGAGAATTGGGGATGAGACGTTCATTGCAGCTGCTGTTTTATCATAGTTGTATCACGAGTACGGGCAGTTGTCATGGTGAGAAATGAGAATGATAGAACCCGAGGTGAATTATCTCAAAGTCACACTCGTTTTTCTTGTGCACGACATTGGGCGAGCAGTGTGGTATCTTCGGAACGCTGATTAGATGGACCATTATTTGTCTTTTGTCTGAAAGAGTGCTTAAGACCTAAGAGTGACCTAAGAGTAAGACCTGAAAGAGTGCTTAAACCATCTATGGAATAGGTGGTTTGTATTTCCTTTTTTTGTTATCCAGTCAACATTATATTCGTTCATTCTATTGGATTAGTACTTAGTAGTTATCGCTTACTTGCCTTCAGAAAGTGGATGAGGCGTGCATTTTTTTCTTGATCGGTTCTCTTTCGGCCTCGTTTGTTTTCTGTCGAGATGAGATGCGTCATCGTCTCGGTCTGTTCACTGGGCTCTGTTCGGCGCTGTGCATTGCGAGTCCGCCGACGCAGGCCGTCTGCCGCCGCCTGTCATCAGCGGCCGCCGGGTGCCGAGGGGCAGTCCGCACCCCGCGCCGGCTCATTTGCATTGTATGGCCATTGTGGAGGGCGCCAAGTGTCGGCGCTACTGTCCCATTGTCCAGTGCCGACCCGCTGGGACCGCCGCGGGGTGCTCTGCATAGGTCAAACACGCCAGCTTCTGTAGGTCAACTTTACACCTGTAATGTGCGGCCGCCGCGGCGGGCGGCGCTCTAGGTCAAACACGCCAACTTCGGTAGATCAACTTTACACCTGTACTGTGCGGCCGCCGCGATGGGCGGCGCTCTAGGTCAAACACGCCAACTTCCGTAGGTCAACTTTACACCTGTACTGTGCGGCCGCCGCGGCGGGCGGCGCTCTAGGTCAAACACGCCAGCTTCTGTAGGTCAAATTTACACCTGTAATGTGCGGCATCCCGCTGAGACCGTCGCGGCGGGGTGCTCTGCATACCGTAAAGTGGGGCTATTTGAGACAGTGGGGCTATTTGAGACAGTATTTAAAATCGCTATAAAATGAAGAGCGTTTGATTTTTATGTGATATTTTTGCTCAGGAAGGTGTGGAATCGAGCAGTAAATCGCCTGAGCAAAAATTAAGCATAAATTTCGAACGGTTTTTATTTTATAACAATTTTAAATACTGTCTCAAATAGCCCCACTGTCTCAAATAGCCCCACCTTACGGTAGGTCAAATATGCCAACTTCTGTACAGGTCAGATTTACTGTAGGTCAGATTTACACCTGTATTGTGTTGGCTGTCAGCAGAACTGGCCAGATGATCTTTTGGACCATACATAGAGGCGACTTCGGCAGCGGGTCTCGCTGGTCCCGCTTGTGACTTCGAAGGTGTTTTAGCTCTTGCAAAATGAACACATTTTTATCATCCTGAAGAGAATATCAATCTTAACAATAAAAAGTGACGTCTTATGTTATCGTGGATTATTGGTTCCATATGTCAACTGCTTTTAGGCAATCTTAGATCTACTTTCAAGTCGGCAAATTATTTTTCCCCGCAGAAATAAAACTGTTCCGATATCATCGCACTGTTGCTTAGAACTATCCACATACAACTATAAAAATAGTGACTTGATGCCAATTATTTAGGATTAAAAGCCGGTTATTTGTGGAAGTGTAACTATTCCATCGGCTGCATTTATTTTCCTGAAATATGAAATCATGTTGGTGCCAGCCACTGTTATGAAATGCACCTTTACCCTATCCTCTCGTAGAGGGAAGGCCAGCTTGTGCAGCGTCTCTGCCCATCGGATGGTCACGAGTTAACGCAATCAATCACCGCTCCCTCTCCCAAGTGACGGTCAGTTAGCCACCGGAATTGCAGTCTGACCACATCGTAAAACGACTGGGTCTGGTGTCCGTATCGCCATCAACACGGTTTATTTGCATCGTCTAACGGTGTGCCATCATCACCCCGGACAAAGGGGGACATGGGGCGCTGGGAAGACGGCGCCGGACGGCCTTACGCGGCTATCTGCCGCCCGGCGCCCGGTGTCGAACTGCCGGGAGACAGGCGCGGCGGCGCCGACAGCCCGTAAGCCGACGATAAATCGCCGACCGGGCCGGCGGATCGTTGCATCAGTGAAGCGGACAGCGCCGATGTCCTGTCGGGTGTTCCGGTGACTCAGAGGACACGGGTGGGCGGGATCGCGCGCTGCTGGGAGTGGACATTAGACAGTCTTGCAATGGGCTGATGGGCGTCAGGAGGCAATCCTTACAGGCAATGGGCTTCAGTCGATCGTCGGTCCCTACAAGCGACGGAAATGGTCGTCCTCGCTGTCAGCAAACACAATCGGCTGGTGTAGACTGGCCGTTATCAATCACAGTCTGTAGGGATGGGCGACCGCCAGCAGTCACATTCAGTGGAGATTCGCATCCGTCAAAAATCACGTGGTGTGCGGCCGTCGCCAATCATAATCTGTTGGGGATTGGTGCTCATAACCTATTGCAATCAAAATGGATGGGCTTTTGTGCAATCCAAATGACCGTCAAGGCGACCTATAGGTGCAGAAAATAGTGGGGGGAGGGGATAACGCCTAAGCGCCAGTTGTTCCGCTCAATCCGTTTGAAGGTCTCCTCGAATCCCGACAGGCACTGAAGTCGTCGCTGCTGTTTCTCCTTCGTCCTTCAGCAGCTGACACCTGTCATTACCTCTGCCGATCGTCTTCTGCCGCTGCAGCTGTCCGGATGGGTTAGCTGACGTCCACTGTCCGCTGTTCCCCGCCTCTGCCACTGGTGCTATCCGCGTTTGTTAGCAGACGTCCACACTCCACTGTCCACTGTTCCTTCTCTCTGCTGCTGGTGCTATCGCCGGTGGTGGCGCCGTCCGCTGTAGGGTGTCCGCTGCCTAGGCTGTACGGTGGCACGTCGCGTGACCACTGTCCCCTGCTGCGGAGGAGCGCGACACGGGGTCTAATGGAGCGACAGCGCCGTCCATCTCACGCGGCAGCGCCGGCCGCCGCCACTGCAGAGGTGTCCGAGGGGACCTCAGTGACACGTAGTGACCGGCGAAGGTCAGACCACAGCAGGGACCGGCCACCATGTAGTGGACTCCTCTGTAGTCGTCCTCAGCAGCAGCAGCACACAGTCTCGAACGATATGCCAACAAGTAGGTCAGTTAAAAACGGACTATAGACCTATGTTTTACTATCTTTGTTTTTCGCATGACGCATTGGTTGCTGGATGATTTAACATTCCAGGTCAACATGCCAAATTGACCTCCCGAGAAAGTATCCGAATAGGAAGACCACGGTGCATCTCAAGGTGATCCTCAAATCGCATCGCAGAGGTGAACATGTATTTTTATCGCCTTCACGCCGCCTAACGTAAGGCATTAACCCTCGCCCGCACATGCCATTTTCCCATCCTAGAACGCACATGGGGGGGTGGTGGTTGCCACCCCCCCCCCCCGCGCCATTTCGTTCCTGTTGGAGATAGAGCTTAGCAGTAAAGACCAAAAAGATTCTTTGGGAAGAGACGAATCCAATGATACCCAGTTTTACCTTCTCAGGTCAGTCATTGACCTTCCAGGTCAGGTCAAACTAAAAAATGTTGCTGTTTTGGGTCACCGTTGGATATCAAGTGCGCTGCTTATCAAATACCGATGACGATGCTGTTTTCTGGTGCCAAGCCAGCTAGAACCTCTTTGTCACACTATCCGACCAGAATTTTGCTGCTGAGGTCATTTCAGGTCATGTTAGGTCAAGGTCAATTATATGTGTTTGTATGTCTGTGTGTGTCTGTGTGTATACTGATGTGTGCACCGATTGTTTTTGGGTCCATATCACATGAAATCATGATCTGAGAAGCTTTTACCAAAAATGCAGTCAAAAAACTTCACAAAAAGTAAATTCAGCTTGCCTAAAACGCAATTATCTTAGATG